TTGCAATCCCTTTACTGCTATTGTCTGTTTCAATTCAAACTTCTAGTATTCACTTTCCACCACATCCAGGCTATATTTCCAGAATATTGACTGGGGTATGAGGGAAAGGACACTCATTAGTTTAAATATCCAAACTTCTATGTGCACAAACAAACTACTTTGTAATTTTCAAAGGTTTTGCATAATTGTACTTTCTAGCACAGCAAATTATTTTTCTCTCTGAGTTATCATCAAGAATTATCTGTGTCTACAACTGACTGATAACACTAATCTTAATGGATGAAATCCCTGCTTGGAACAGAGTACAATGAGAGTCACGGGAATATGCTACTTAAAAACTGCTCTGAGGGTAGGATATGGTTGCCTATTATAATCTTTCTTATTTATTTTTAAAAAGTCCCAAAAAAACAGAGTTACCTCAACAAGATGCATCACTCTTAGTTGCTGTGTTGCCATATGAATGTGTGTAGCACTGCATGAAAGATTAAAATCCAAGTTTACTTTATGGGGTATTTTTTTATATACTTTAAATATTTCTGAAATAGAAGAGTGTACAGACCCTGGTTAAGAGCAGAGATTAGACACTCTGCATTAACTGAAAAGATCCAAATGGTTGCTGAGCTTAAAATCATGGCTTCTAACAGCATTAGACTCAGCTTCTGCTTGTGATAGCCTTTTCATGATTCAGATGTCTGCAACAGATTTTATTTCTGAGCAAATACAATGAAAAATAGTAAGTTTACTTGTCTGTGCGACTATAGAGTGTTATTAAAACTATTGCAGTTTGTCTGCTGCTGTGCTATATAACTGTAGCTTTTTCAATGGTTGTCCAGTATTGTGTAGAAAACAAAACAGGAGGAGCCCAGAAGGACATAGTGTGGCCTTTTGTAGAATTAACACCTTTAATCTAAGGAATTTTCTTCATTGAGTTATTAAGCAATCATTAAGAAAGTTAGAAAGGTGATTTTATACTTTGGTTTTAAATGATAAAATAATGTATTTTCAGAATCAGGGGATTATTTGGAGCTAAATTTATTCAATTGAAATATCTAGCCCTTTGGAAGAATATTAGGAAGTCTGAATACTTGCTTCCTGAAAGAAAGAAAACACTGAAATAGAAATTGTATGTTAATTGATGCATTCTCCTATTTTACAAAGATGAGCTTTGTCAAGGAGTGATTGTGGTCTGTCTTGCTAACAACCTTAATGAATCTTAATTAGATATTTACATAAAAGTCCCATTTTTCATACCAGCAGGTCTTTAGTGTAGGCCTGAGAAGAAGGATGTCATGTCTTAATAAAATAAACTCTCTTAAAATTTCCTTTCAAAGTTTCCTTGAAACATTAAGAGGAGACTGTGTGTTGGTTTCTTTTAACGTGTGGTTTTAGTGTTAAATGATTATTATTTTGTTTCTTAATGCTTTTCCCCCTCTGTACCCTAATAACATTGTTAGTATTTTTCATCTGGTCAAAGGATTGCTTAGCTCAGACCAAGGCTTTGCTTCAAAACAAGTAACTGTTTAAGACAGTCAATTGAGGTACTATTTTCAAAATGTCACTTAAATCAAGACTTGAAAATGTATAATTGAGGGAAACTATTTGTAACATGGTACAAAAACAATGACAAAATAAAGCATTTATATTCCATAAGACAGGCCCTCAGTGAGCTGTTGGCATGTGCTTATTTACTTTAATTTATTAGAGAAATTGAATATAGAAAAGGTTTTGTGTCTTGGTAACTCCAAAGATTAGAAGTTAATCTTATAGCAATAATGATTCTGATCTCAATACAGATCATCAGAATGCTATTTCAGGACAATATGTGAAATTTACCTACTCTTCTATTGCTAAATTTCAGTTATTAAATCAACTCTGTTAAATACTTACTGGATTTTTTTTTAATGAATAGTAGCCAACTGCACTCACTGAAACATTTTTTTAAAGACATATAAATAAAAAGATAAGCCTTAGTTAAGAATAGATTACAAACTTTGTTACATGTCTATGCTTTGTTTTGAATAAATGAACCTTGTTTGTTGGAAATAGTCTGCTGTGTATTTTTGAACCTACATTGTTTTTAATGCAAATGGCCTGTCTGTCCTGTGGTATCCCCCCTTCCCTGTCCTGATATCATGGCAAGCTTGCCTACAGGCATGCTTTCTAATACTATTTGGCCAGTAGTTTATGAGTCTGTGAAATCATGGATGGATCTCAAGTAGCCTTTTTTTTTTTTTTTTGAATTTACTATTGTAATATGCTTTCTGCGAAACTGGTATGTGTAGAATCATGGGTGCAGTAATTTTCAGAGGTGATCTTCATTTTGCAAAATATGTTATTCATATTGCATGATAGTCAAAAATATTCATCAGGAAATTGTGTAATTTCTAATGTTTTACATGTGACTGGTCTTATTAGAATTAGCTGCTGTGTGGTAAGTCTAGTATGCCTCTGTGGTGATGATCATGGTGTGGCCTGGGAGGAAGGGGGGAAATAAAGCATCATAAGTGAGTCTTCATCTTTGTAATTTCTGGGGCTTGAATCATACTGATTTTGGCAGGCTGGAAAAATTGCCAGTGCAACTCCAGTGGGAGATAAAAATTAATGTTTGTGTGTGTGAGAATTTTCTGTCCTGGGAGGTATTACAGTTGCAGTGACAGTGTAGAACAGAGCCTCTAAAAGAGAGCTTGCTTGCTCTAGGTTTTGCTTTAAGTTTTCAGGGGTATTTGTAAAGAGGTGAGGTTGAGGAGGAAGTAGCATCACTTTTGAAGCTTGGAGAACTACCAAAAAAATAAAGGCCTTGTTTGTACCGTGAAACATTGTGTGTTGGGTTTTGAGAAAAGGAGGAAAAAACTCTATTAAATTGTAATGGGCCTGAATCTCTACAGGCCTTAAAATAGTGCTGATTTCTCAGTTTCTTTTAGTTGAACAGTTTTTCAGGATGGGAAGAATATGTCTGATTATATAGACTTCCTTTTTCTTTGCTAATTCTGGGCTATCCTTTTACAGTTTTGAAATAAACAATCTTGACTCAATTCTTCCATTTTCTGATTTTATCTTGGAGGAGTTGTATATGTCAGGTCTGTCAACAAGTCCATGAAGGAAGAGAGATCAAGAGAAACAGTTTCTGTGCAGAATCAGATGCAGGGCAAGAGTTTTGGTCAAAAATTCTTCACTGACTTGGCAAATTCAATATTCCGGAGGAATCCTGGCATTCCTGTGGGGAGGAGCAGCTGTTAAAATCTGCAGAATATGAATGCAGGCAAAGACTGTGTCCTACCAGGAAAAAAGGAGGCGTTTAGGTGGACAGAGAGTGAGTCCTAAACCTGGAACTGCTCTAGGGAATTTCACAGTCTGAACTACAGCCTGCTTTTGTGGGGGCAATAGCATGTGCTGCTTGGCACTTCAAGTTATTAAGAGAAGGGTGACACTTTGCCCACTAATGATGTCCAAATGGATCCTTTAAAGAGTAATTTTGATTAAAGGTTTTTGGTTTTGCTTTTTTTTAAAAAAGCCTTCTGTTTAACTTTTTTTTTTAATCTATAGAGAAATAGATTACTGAAACTGAAATCAAGTCCTCTATTTGCAGGTACACAGGTCAACATTAATCACCTTTTTTCAGGTCCTTACTTTTCTTTGTTTTCCCTTATATTTTCCTAAGGGCAATATTTTTCTGAAAATACCTGTCACTACTTCCCTTCCTTTCTTCCCCTGCAAATCTTTCTGAGAAGTAATATAAAATGTTTTGCTTAGTTTTTTTCATGCAAATAATGAAAAATATTTTGTTCTGCAAAATAACTTGGGCGGGAAAACAATAAGGTGGGGAAGAACTTCTGTTATTACTAGAAAATTGTTTTAAGTTACAGCCAGCATAAGATTCTTCTGGGTGTCTGTGTAAAGGGTTTGGGCCTGAATCCTCTCAGCAGAGTTGCAAAATATGTAACTGAGAAAGGTTGTGCTGGTTTGTGACCTAACTTGTATGTTGAATTGGGTCTACAGTTAGCATGACACAACTAAGCTTCATTCTAAAAACAGTGTGTCCTCATGAGTGTTTTCCCACAATAAATTCAATGAATCACAGAATGGCTGAGTAGGAAGGGACCTCTGGAGGTCATCTGGGCCACCTAGAGCCACTTGTCCAGGAACTGCCTTTTCAGTTTCAGAAAAAAGAGGGAGAATACGGTGCTGTACAAGCATTTTTTATGCCTGGCTTTTCTTACCCTCCCACCTTCCATCAGGTGAGCGGGTTGGGTGCAGAGACAAAGTGTTGTTGGTGCCCTCATGTCAGTGTGCAGGTGTAGTGCCCAGAAATCAAGAACTGTCCTCTTGTCCAGGTTGAAGAAATGCAACTAAAGGTAAATTAAGTGAAAACCAAATGAGGTATTTAGCAGCTAATTAAAATTGTCACTCCATTTAAGTCTGATATGGAGCTGAGAGTCAGAGTGGAAAAGGACCTCTGTTTTGCCTCTTTACATGAAAAACATAGCTACTTTTGTGCTTTAAAAACTCATTGGGCTACATAGGCAGGCAGATCTGTGAAAGTGTCAATGATTTGTTTAACCTTGGATTTTCTTTTAATGCTTAATTATGCTTAGCATTAAAGTATTTCTGTGAAAACTAAAATGTGCAGTCATCGCTTGATACTTCTCTAACACAGTTTTCATTGTGGTGGGCTGTCCTTGGCAATTGTCCAGATGCCTGCCCAGCTGCTCTCTTACTCCATGTCCTCAGCAAAAGTGAGGGAAAATAGGATAAGAAAACTTGTTGTTTGAGATAAAGATGGAGAGATCCCTTAACCATTGCTATCATAGTCAAAACAGTCTTGATGAGGAAAATTAATTTATTGCAAATTAAAATGGAAGTCGATTATGAGAAACAAAGACAAAATTTCCAGTGTCTTCCCTTCCCTCCCACCCTTTTTTTCCTAGGCTCAACTTGACTTGTTTATTTCCAGTTGCTCTTCTTCCTCACTATACCTTTACATACTTTTGTTCTCATTTTAGGAGGGGCAAGAAGCACAGCATAATTCTGAGGACCCAGCTCTCAGTGAGAGTCCATGCCTGCATTGGTAAGTTAAGTTCCACGTGTCTGAAAGAGAACAAACAGAATTGATTTCCAAGAAGCAAATCTGGGGAGTATGAATCAGACTTGACTGTGTTCCAGATTGACAGTAATGGCCAATAAATTGATTTTATTATTTTGTTTGTTGCATGCTGCTATTAGGTTGTATTAACTACACTACCCTTAAAGCATGTTAAATATCACAGGGAAGTATAGCATTTGACAGTGATGTCAGATGGCTGGGTGGTTCTTTGAAGAATCTTCAGTTATCTGTCTTGTCACAGCCTTTGTGTGCACCTGAAAAAGACTGTGTTCTGGATTGGGAATGGGATCTGAAGAATTGTTGGCTGACAGCTATCTGCTATCTTTTAATAGTATATAAAGTTTATTACTTCACATATTGCAGATCTTGGCTGCATGTTTGTCATTATCACAGTGTCACTGTCTTAAAAACCCTGGTTAAAACAATGCTGTCACAAGGGAAGGTCTAATGAAAGTCATAATATGCATGTCAAAAGAGCTTCGAGGCTCCATGAAAGGAGGCTGATGGCGTTAATATGTTCTCTATGAAAGGTCTGGGATGGTGTTAATATGTTCTCCAGCATCCTACAGAGCAGAATGTTTGAGTGTCAGTGGCAAAGGTAATGCTCATATCCTGGTGACAATATGACAGATTCTATGGGCGGCTGGTTTAAAACAAAAAACAAATTAAAAATCCTGTGTGTCTGTGCCACAGTTGTTTTCAGCTTCTCCATAGTAGATTCAACAGTGTAATATGTTTAACTTGTTGGTCTTGGTTCCAGATATCATAGCTGAAGCCTTGAAATAGCTATATCTTCCTTAAAAGAAGAGGAGAAAGTCAAAGTTTTGTGTCATTTCTACAGTGACTTTGGAAGGATTCAGGCTTTAAATACAGCTAAACCTTTTCCCCTGCCCCCAGGATATGTTATGAAATGGCATTTCTGAGAATTTGAACTGAGTATAAGCAACCTACAGAATTCCACAAATACCTCTCATTGAGAACAATCTCTAGGCTGCCTTGTGTAGGAACAGTTTCTCCTCTACTACCATTGACTTGAGGAAGAACAGTAGAGCAAGCATACGTGTAAAGTGTTAGAGAAGGAACAGAGATGATGCAAAGTATAAACTGATTTTATAAATGTGAGTGAAATTAAGAACAGCTTGTAGTAGATTGTTCTTGTTAGGTCTGGAAGTATATTTGGCAAAACAGACCAGTACAGCAAGACAAGATTTGATAAGTTTCCCGGGTTGAGGTTTTATAAAAAGAATTTTCATGTAATTTTTTTTTCTCCAGAGTGCAGCCATCGAGGAATTGGAGCACATAAGGTTCTGAGTGTCGACGTGTGGTTGCATTGTTGTTATCTGTTTTCATTCAAGCTTACTGTGGGCAATTAGCCATATTACTGTGCATGTATCTTAATTGTTCCTGTATGAAAGTGTAATCCCTTGTCAGGTGCTGTTGCTCTCTGGTGGCAGTGATGCATTCAGCAGTGAGTACAGAGGAAGCCAGGCTGCAAAACTTGAGTCCAGATTTCAAACTCCTAGAGAAGAGGTGTGTTTGCATATAGGCTTTTGGCTTGGTTCATTCTAGTCAGAAAAGCCAAATGCAAGTTCTGGATCTAATTTCCATCCCCCCTGCTGAAGTTTAGTTTTTTGGGGTAAGTTTTTGTTTCAGACCCTAGCTTGATGTGTAATGTAGTTTCTTTTCTCTTATTTTCTTTTTCATTTCTTATTTTCTTTTTCATTTCTTTTCATATGGAGTCTTATTTTTTGGTATGGGATAGTTTGAAAGAGTCAGGGAACATTCTGTGTTTCTTACTACTGGCACTGTTTGCAGAGCTGTGCCTGGCAGTCAAACCTGTCACAGAATAAGAGGGCTATTTCATTGGCACAGTGGGTACTGCTGGTGTGTGTGTGCACATCAGCTGCCTGTTAAGGTCTCTTTTGAAACGCAAACATTAGGTTTAGATGTTAAAAGATATGTTACATATTTGGAGTAGAAGCCAGGAGCTAGAGGAATCTGAGATGGTGTTACATGGAGTAAAACTGTCACGCTTTGGGTGTTTTCTTTCAGTCTTCACAGTCTCCATGGAAAGAATTGTGGTTAGCAATGTTACTGACTCTGCAAAGTCCCCAACAGGTAGCTAGGGCTGCTTTCTGAGAAGGTGTGGTTTGTTATGTAGTGACCTTTCTGCAGAGCCTCCTGTCATCTTTGTATTCAGAGTTTTACTTTCTTCTTAAGACCTGATAGGTGTAAAGAAATAGCTCTCCTGCCATAAACGCTCCCATTTTGAAGCTGGATCACTATTTTTTTCCCTCTTCCTAACTCATTGTACTTTTAAATTGTGGGAAATAGCAGAAGTGTTTATGTTCAGATGTCCAGATAAAGTTTTCCATCGTCAGTGACTTCAGATCTCTGGAGAATTCATTGGGCTTCAGTGTCAGAGGATGTATTGACTACATCTACTACTACTGATGTTTTAGAGACCTGGGAAGACTTAGCAAGTCTCATGTCAAGTGGGGTAGGGTTTTTGGTTTCAAGCAGAGCAGAGAAGGAGTAATACTTAATAACTTGAGTGCAGAAGTTGTGGTATTTTCTACCCTGTTAAATACAAGTCCCTGTTAAGTACCTTAATTTAATGTGTTATTGCTTTCTATTTTTTTTCTCAGCTCTCAATTTGAGTTCTTTTCTTATGTACATACTAAGGACTTTCAGCATGAAGGAATAAATTTTCTTTTTAATATTACTCTATTCTCCCATTTTGGCTTAATCCTGATTAAATTATCAGGATTAATTAATAGCTAATACTTTTAAGTGGTTTTAATATAAACTTCAATATTTAGAATGTTTCTTTATATCAAAAGAACATTGCTGAAAGCAGTTCTGTTCAGAGAACGTAACGAATTGAAAATTATAGATGTGTTTTTGTACTTTTTGATGTCCAAAGACCTTAGTGGAGGAATCATAAAATCATAGAATAGAGATGGGTTGGAAGGAACCTAAAAATCATTTAGTTCTAACCTAATGACTAAAAGTCATTTAGTTCTAACTCCCTGCCATGGGCAGTGATGCTACCCACTAAAACAGCTTGCTCAGGGCCTCATCCAAGCTGGCTTACAGCACTTCCAGTGATAAGGCATCTACAGCTTCTCTGGGCATCCTGTTCCAGTCTCTCAGCACTCTCACAGTAAAGAATTTCTTCTTAACTTCTAATTTAAATCTGCTCTCTCTCAGTTAAAAACTACTGCCTTTTGTCCTATCACTAGCCACCCATATATAAAGTGGCTCTTCTTTTTTAAAAGACCCCTTTGATTACTGCAAGGCTGCTATAAGCTCTTCTTGAAGCCTTGTCTTCTCCAGGCTGATGAGTCCCAGTTCTCTCAGCCTTCACAGGAGAGGTGACCAGAGGGCTGGAGCATCTTTGTGCCCTTCAGACTTGTTATACCGGGTCCCTGTCCTTCCTGTGCTGGGGACTCCAGAGCTGGATGCAGAGCTCCAGCTAGGGTCTCAAAAGGGTAGAATAGAGGTGCAGAAGCCCCTCACTCAGCCTTCTGGCCATACTTTTGATGCAACCCAGAACATGATTGGCCTTCTGGGCTCTGAGTGCCCCTTAAATCAGATAGTGTCAACTGTAGGGTTTTTTTTCCCACAAGCTTTTAAATTTGACCTTTTATTCAAATCACATTTATTATGAGTTACTACCCTTGTGGGAAAAGTCTTTTTAGTATTTTTGGCAGCCATATGACTTTGTATTTATTGTGTCTTAACATTATTTTAGTTTGTATATATTTAACAATTACAGGGCTCAGCTGAAGCCTTGATGAAGTCTAATGTAAATGAGAATGTAACTATAGAAAGTGAACACCAACAATGTCAAAAGTTTTAGCCCCTGAAACTAAATGGAAGGTTGTAGTCAGAGCAACATGATGACAGTGAAGTTTTAAAGATCTTTACCAGCTCCACTTTTCCTGCAGAAGGACTTGGTTTAACCATTAGGTCCTTGATTGGCCAGCTGTGTTTGTGGCTCCTGCTTCATTTGTTTGTTCATAGCTTCATGGCTTTTTTCTCAAAATCTGGTGTGATCTCTGAGAGGCAAGGCACTATTTGCTCTCATATATCTGGATGCTGTATTAGCCCAAGAGACCCCCCATGTCCTTTTCTAAAATGCTTATTCCTGTGATGTTAAATCAGGAGTGTTGCAATCAGTGCTGAGAATGATGTTTGGACAGGGATCCATGACAATGACTTAGAATGATTCTGCCAAAAGAAGTTTGGTGTAAGCTTCAGTTGTTAATACAATGTAATACAAGAAGAATGCAAATAACAAAGTTTGATGTGATTCTGAGTGAATGTATTGACCTGGGATTACTTAGAATACTGTGGCTTGGAAGGTTAGCAAATGTTGCAAGGAGTATTTTAAATTTTACTACCTTTCTGTGTCAGTTTATTATTAAAAAATCCCCCAAAACCCCAAGCCAAATAAACAAAACCAACCAAAACACATGCCCAGGACCCTCAGTTGGTTATTTAAATGCTTTTGCTTTTAAAAATTACAGTTTTTGTATGGTTAGATCTCTCTCATATTTTTGTGCCAAGTTTTCTTTTATCTGCCAGTAGATTAAAAATAATTTGCATAGATATTTGTGTATATTGCATTTCATAGCTTGATCCAGAGAGGGCCCTAAACAGTGTGCAAGTGTATTATTGCAAGAGTCTTGCAAAATGTATAATACAGCTTCGGTAAAAGTTGTTATAGCCATTTTATAATCCTGTTCTATTGTTTCTTGCATGTGAGTAGATGCAGAGCTACCTCCACAGTGGATTATTCCCAACTCTGGGACACCAGTGCTGCTGTGCTGCACAGCAGCTCTTTCTAGCCCCTACTCTCAGGGCATCTGTGTTAACCAGAGTGTTAGCACCAATAACTCAGCCTTTCCACAGTGCTCTTGGGATTATCTTTTTGATATCCCCTTGCTCTTAATATC